CACCCACCCCCGCCAGGACAATGAGCACCCCCAGAAAGTCACCAGCATTAAATCACTTATTTGCGAGTATATTTGTGACTGATAAATTGAACAGACTTTCATGTGGACAAATGTCCATTTTCTCTTACTAATTTGAACAAGGATTTTTAAAGACAAAGCCCATCAAACATTAGATAAGCATTTTAAGTTAATGGACCGTGTAGTCCTATTTCCCCACAAACTCAGGAAGCATCATATTATGTCCTATTTTTACAGCAACATCAATTATTAATATGTATATTTTTGCTGACAGAGGACCTAGCTATAAATGTAGGTTTCGTTATCCCGTTCTGGGTCATTAACTGCGGAAAGCTTGTAAATATAATGGTTTATTCACATGGGAAGCCTTCATTAAGATGCATTATTCTACAGCTGATGTATTTCAGTATATAGTGTACTATCATGTTCTCTGTCTCTCTTTAATATTCGTAATTTATTTTTAAATGAGTTGCTGTTTATGCGGCAAGTTAACAAATTTGAATTCCATATGACCAAAGTTGCTAAAGAGGAAAAGATGTTTTAGCCCAAAGGAAAAGCTGCTCATTAACATAGGACCTAAATATGTTATAACCTTTAAATTTGAAAGCGACTAGAGAGAGAAGCTACAAATGACCCAAATGTATTTCTGCGGGAGAAAGCCTACATCAAGAAACACGCACGAGCACACACGCATTAACGGCGCAGCATGGTGTGATAGGAGGCACGCCGGACTGGGAGAGCCAGGAAAACGTATTGCCTGCTGCCCCGTGGACAGACATGCAGCGACGGGAAGGGCATTTAGATCTGAACCTCCATTTCCTCATCTGTCCAACGGGGTGGTCACGTCCTCGTGTCTACGTCAAAAAGCGGATGTGGACATCCGTAAAGAAACGCAGCGAAGGAACAGTAGGTCAGAGTGCCCTGCCAGTGGGCGCGTTGTGACAGTCCAGTGAGAGCTGAGCGTTCTCTGTTTCACTCACTCACAGATCGTGGACGTGTCTGGAGTCTGCTGGGCTCGTCTCAGAGAGCTGCTGACAACCCGCAACTCAGAGTCACCTACTTACTCGTGTTGAGGGGTGAAAGGAGAAAGGGCCCGGCCAAAATACAGTTTGTATGCCTCTATGAAGGAAATCCACAAATAACAACAGGAACAATGTGTTGAGGGCAATTCATCAGAGAATCATAACACTAATGCAAGACTTCAGTACAATTTTACACGTTCGTCAGAGGCAAAGAAACCGGGTCATGTGTTGTAGAGATCCGTATTGACGTCTTCATGAAAACGATTGCCTTTACAATAGCCGTTGGAGAGATGGATGCCTCTCTATGAATTATGAACTTCTGTTTTATATATTTAAAATGAAAAACATTACCTGGAAAATAGAAGAATTAGATGTTTTAATGATTAAATAAAGGAAACTTCTATTTTTTAATTTTGACACAAAATTCATAATATAAAGAAAAAGCATGCCTTTAAGTACCTGTATACTCAATTAGTTCTTTTGTTTTTAACAGTGTTCTTTAAAATGATTCTGTAATTCTCATTCTTTATTTACTTTTAAAGTAATTATAGGGAGCTTTGTCCGTATCGTAAAAGCTGCATGCTCTCATTTTACTAAAGGTAGGAAATTGGCTTTCGTTAGGTTTTCTAAGGCATGTCTTTATAAAGCATTAGATGTGTGATTTCCTTTTTTTCCCCACTGGCTTTATGGCATTAAGTGGACACTGTCTTCTAACATCTCCGTTGTGGAATCCCTCCCAACTCCAGAAGTTCATAGGTGTTTCTTAGAGATTGTGTGTGTGGTGTGTGTGTGTGTGTGTGTGTGTGTGTGTGTGTGTTTGTTACATTTAACTATTTAATCCATTTGAATTTATTTTGGTATATGACATTAGTTGATTTAGGTAATATTTATCCATATAATTAAATTTATAAGTTTGTTCTAATATATTCTTGTATACTATAGGTAGTATAGACATACTACAATATGTCTATTGTAAATAAGGTCCTGAATTTTTATCATACTCATCTTTCACAGCTTTTGAAACGGACTTTAATGTTGTTCTCTCATCCCCAAAAGTTTCTTTACACTGCAGCTCCCTGGCATTCCTGGGTTTCAGACACTTAGTTACTGGCGCAGCCTGCATGAGACAGCTCAATGAGACGAGGAAACATTCACCTGAGAATCACTCAACGCCGCTCTGTAGCAGAGATATTAGAAATGTTTATAGCAATACATTCACAGCTAACGATGTTCCGGATTAGAGGGGAAAACTGAACTATAGAGATGAAGTGCCTTGCACAAAATCACAAATGTAGCCAAGATTTAAACGCAGACATTCTGTCCCAAAATCCTACAGCAAGACATTGGATCAGATAAACTAAGGATTGTTTCCTGCCTTTTCCATTTGCAGCTGTGTGAATTTGGAAAAGTTAATTAGCTTCTCTGGTTTCTTTTTCTTTCTCTCTTTCTTCTTTCTTGTCTTATCTTTCTTCTCTTCTTTCTATTCTCTTTCCTATATCTTCACTTCTTTCCTTCCTCTTCTTCTTCCCATTTCTTCCTTCTTTCCTCTTCTTCCTTCTACTTTCTTTCCTTCTTTCTCTCTCTCTTCATTTCTTCTTCTTCTTTTCTTCTTCTCTTCTCTTTCTCTCTTTCCTTTCTTCTTTCCTATCTTCTTTTCTTTTGAGCAGGTCTCGCTTGTTGCCAGGCTAGAATGAGTGCTGGGATCAGCCTAGCTCACAGCAACCCTAACTCCTGGGCTCAAAACGGATCCTACATCCTCAGCTCAATAGCTGGGAACTACAGGCATGCGCCACCTGCCGGCCTAATTTTATTTATATAATATTTTAGTTGCAGTTAATTATCTATTCTAGTTTAATAGTAAAGAGATGGGTATAACGCTTGTCAGGGTGGTTTTCAACTACTGGACCTAAGCAATCCACCACTCGGATCCCAAGAGTGCCTGGGATAAACAGGCAGTGAGGCCACCAGTCCCAGCCTGTATAATCTTTATAATGAATAAATACCTGCCAATAGACTGATTGTTGTAAGGGCTAGGAGAGTATTTCTTTAGAATGAGTTGTGCTCAGAGATGCTTTAGAATGAGTTGAGCTCAGGAAGCGATGCCCATGTTTTCTTCTTTGATTCTTTTTAAACAACAACTCCTCCTCCATCATCTTGGTGATCATCGTCATTTTAGTCTTTGCAGGCCATGCAGTTTCTGTCACAACATGAATGTTATTATCATCGTGGTGTGAACATAGACATAGACCATTAATGAATGCTTGTGGCTGTGTTTCAATAAAACATTATTTACAGAAAGACGCATTAGGCCATTTTGAGTCATCAGCTTTAGGTGGTCAAACCCTGCTTTAGCACGGTTAATATTTCCCAAACCTGAGTAATTATCAGAATCACCTGAAGATTTTCCAAAACTACTAATTTCTTGGTTCTGCCTTGCTTCTACCTTGGAACTGGGAATCTGTATTTCTTAAGGTCTCTAGAATTTCAAGGAAAAAGAGAACTTCGAAAAAGTTCCTCACTGGTATGTTCAGAAATATTTAAGGATATGTTACACGTAAAAAAAAAAAATTTCCCCATAGTGGCTACTAAAAACAAAAAAGGAGCAAATGCAAAATAAGAAAGATTTCTGAGAAAATAAAACCATTCCAATAAAAGTAAAACAATAGCAATAACCACCCCCAAATTTGTAAATAAATCTAAATAACAAATAGACATAACAAAAATCAAATTAGGTCTGGAAGGTGAAATTAAAGAAATGTCCTGTAATGTAGTACAAATAGACAAAGGAGAGAAGTAAAATATAAAAGTTCAGAGTCATGAAAGATCAACCTGGTGGTCTGGCATTTATCTAATATTTGTTGTAGAGAGAGGAATGGAGAAAAAGAAATAATAGAAGAAAAATTTGCAGAATTGAACACATAATTCTTTATAATGAAGGCACCCACCAAAATAGAATATGATGAATGAAGAAATGCCTACACTTAGAAACATTTTGATGAACTTTGAAAACTCAGAGGGTAAATAAAGCATCATAAGAGCTTTCAGAGGGAAAAACAGCTTATCTACAAAGGAACAGCAATTGAATTTGCAACAAGTTAGTCACTGTCAGCTCTATATATCAGAAATATTCTCCAAGGAAACTGCCAAACTGCCATTAAATTGGGAGGGCCAAATAAAGACATTTTTAGAAATGCAAGTACTTAAAAGGTTTACAGGTAGACATAGCCATTCTGAAAGTTACACTCAAGGACACACTTCAGCAAAATGAAAACTGAATACAAGGGAGAGGAAGAAAAATAGACGGAATCTAGGACAACTTATAGTTAAATTTAAATAGTTCCTTATTTAAAAAAAAAATTAACCACAGTCTATCATTGAGGGAAGAAAAGAAAACACATGCAGAGGTCTAGACTTGTTCAAAGAGCCTCTAGATAATGATAAATTCTAGACAAAGATAGAAATGTAGGTGTTGATTACATGTTAAATATTTAAGAATAACTAGTAGAAGATTAAAATAAGATGCATAATTTTCAAACCATTAGATGACAAGAATGAACAAAGCTAGTGCCATATACCCAACAGAAGGTAGAAAAGGAAAAACAAACAACAAAGTGATAGAAAGCTTAATATGGCAGGATTAGCTCCAAATATTTCTTCCATACAATGAATAAAATTTTTCTTTTCTATAATTCTTAGAGTGAGTTTTTAAAAATCCAGTTATATACTGTTGACAAGAGAGAAACCTCAAACATACTGATGTTAAAAAATCCAACACAGAGGAACATAAAGAGTTATGTAAGGGACTTTTGGTTAAATAGGCAGAGTAAACACACCTATTTAGCCTTGTTCCTTCTGCATCTTTATATTTCTTATGTGCCTTTGGTAGGACACCATTGGAGATATTGACATATCTGATTAGTTTATAATATGTTTTACCAGCTCTGTTGCCTGTATTTTCAGGACCCACCTCCTTTCTTTAATCAAGTCAGCACTACAGTAATCAAGGCCGAAAGGGTGGACCGTCTGCGGGAGGAAATACAGACAAAGCATGAAGCGAACTACAAGGCAGCCTTGGTCACCATCAAGGATAACCTGAAGTTAACAGAAGGCCCAGACATCAGAGAGAGCCTTCAGGAGCAGATCCGGCACTGGTTCATCGAATGCAGGCAAGCATGAGCTGCGCGGTGGCATATCCATACAGTCTCTGCTTTAGCGGTTGAGCTTATTGCATGTGTTTAACCACAAAAGCATGCTGATACAGAGTCACGGTGTTTCTTGGCTTCATTTTAGAAGAGTGAAATGCCAAATCTAAGAATTCAGAAATTAATTTTTTGACAAAGTTGCTCTTTGTCTTGTTTTTCAAAAAATTTGGAAATATGGTCCACACAGTGCTTCTGTGACTACATGGAATGGGACACCATGGGTGGATGGCAGCCCCACGATGCTAGAACAGCACAGGCCAGGCCTGTCTGAAAGCCAGGGGACCCTGCAACCCCTTCTGGGACCGGACTGGCCTCTCTGTCTGTAAGCAGCTTGAGATTCTCGACCATGGTTCATCTCTGTCATAACCTCTGAGGCAGCTACTGATTCCTGCATCTTAACACCTGGCCCCCAGGTCTCCCTGAAATGGTGAATATTGGAGGAGTTCTGGGGACAAGGCTCCAGGCCTTTTTGTATATTAAGGGTCTTCTTTAACACTCTTAAATGAAATGTTAAATGATCTAAAACTTATTTACAAAAGATGGTGTTTAAAGATATCCTTTATTAGGGCGTTTTTCCACACAGTAGAATAAATACTTCGTAGGTAACCTAATTAGAGCAGTTTTTAAATCGATTTTATTTCGAGAGCGGAAGAACAGAGGCAGAGGGCTGCGATCAGTCCAGGAGCCGTCTGTTTCCTTGAGTGGGTATTGTGCCCTGATCGCATCAGTTCCCAAGACACGTGTCCCAAGACAGATATCGTCTCTGTTAGCTCATCAGGACCAGAGAATTTAGCTGTCGGCAATAGAAAAATCAAACTTCCTCTCAAAAAATTCTATTCAGTTTTATATCCATGGTAGGCAGCCTCCAAACTGGCCTCCAGTGATCTCCCCCCCACCCCAGAGTGTGATCTACCCGTAGTAATTCACTCCTAAAGGAAAGGGCAGTGTTGTATTGTGCAATGATTAGGAGGCAAACTGGAGTCACTGCTTCCTGCAAAATCTCTGTGAAACCTTGGGCGAATCCTTTAACTTCCCTGTGCGTCAGTTTCCTCCTCTGTGATACGAGGACAAAAATCAGCCCATTTCATTTGTGTGCCGGACCTGGGTGTGGGCCGTGGTCATTTCCACTGTACTGGAACCCTCTGCCTCCAGTGCCTTCGTGCATAAACTGCAGGTCAGTCAGGCCTGGGCTGGTGCTGAGAAGAAACTGGTACATGAAAATTTCAGGAAGAAACAGTGAATGGTGCAAGCTAATGGTATTGCAGTTTTTCAGTCTTATCCAATTGCATGATTGTGTCTGGAGAAAATTGCATGATTGTGTCTAGTTGAAATGATTTTGTGCAATTGCAGTCACAGAAATTTAGGCATTGTTTCAAAAGAATTAGGTCTTCTGATTAAATCACTTTGGTTCATACTTAAAACCTTCATTTTCATAGTTAGCGAGGATTATATGCCCTATGTTCAGGAACTTTCCCTCTTTTCTCATGTGTCAGAGAATAGGTATTCAAAAATATATTTCCTATTAGTGAAATGATTCTTTACTTTTATGTAGACAATTTAAAATTCAATTTATTAAGTGACAGAACCAAGGGGAAAGCACTATGTACAATTATAACCCCAAATAAGTTAAAATATACCTATACATATACTAGTGCATGGTTGCACTAGTTAATGAATTCAAAAACATGTTTAACTTATTAAATATATGTTTTACATGCCAGGAAGATTTCTGGAAGGACACACCAGAAACTGTTAGCCTGGCTACCTCTAGGAGCTAAAGTGGGGAGGCGGTTACTTTTTATTTTATATTCTTCTGGATGAAGCCTTTTTTTCCCATAAGTGCTATCTTTATAATAAAAACCTAAGTTACAAAATATATTGGAGGAAAAAGAAAGAAAGGTGATCAATTTGGATTGATTTCAAATTTTTAAAACACCCTAATTTTAGAAAAGTAGATTAATGCAGTAACTTGGACACTCTTGGGAATGGTCTTTTGATAAAAGTGAAGGGAGACCTGGGGCTGGGAATGAGCGTGAGTTGTTTTCCCACCTGAGGTCCCTGTGGGGCCGTGGGAGACTTGGGCGAGCCTGGTTGTCGTCCCGGGAGCGCCTGCTCTGTGGCTGCAGGGTTTATGGGCTTCCTTTGAAGATCCAGCCCTCGCTGGCCAGTCCCCCTGGGAGCACTACACTGACACTGTGGAGGCCAGTTAGTCGTCCTCACGGCTGGGCTGTGCAGAATTCACAGAGATACAGAAATTCCTCTTTCTGAAGTCATACAAGGTCGAGGGTAAATTTATTTTCATAATTGGATTATATTTATCTGATTGACTTTGATAAAATCCCTTTTCTTGCTTTTTTAAATCAAAGGCAAATAAAAAGCAAATATTGTCTTTTGCAACATGAAACATGATCAGTCCTCAAAATAAATTCCAGTAGGACACACAATGACAACTCAACAAATTATTGAAACTTTCAATTATTAATAATATATGTTCCCACAATTCAGAATACTTACCTCATTTAATCAGAACTGATACTGGCCAAAAATTGTTTTCAAGTCAATCTTAAGTTATTTTACATGAAGCGTTTTTTTCTAATGTTAAAAGTAATGCAAGCTTATTGTAGAAAATTTGCAAGATAGAGTTTAAAGAGGAAAATTTAAATGATGTATGATTTCAGTATATAGAGATATTATAGCTACTGTGAAATTTTTCAGTAAATTTCCTTCTAGTTCTTTTCTTTCACATATATATTTTACTTATAGTTTTATGAATTCTTTCCCTAATGTTTAAAAATTTAATATTGGGTTTTCCCTTGTCCTTAAAATATTTGTCAAAAGCTGTTTTTAATGATTGCTCAACATTCAGTTGCATGGTTGCGCTAGTTAATGAATTGATTATAATCTTTTTTTAATATTTTGAAAAATTGACAAGGGAAAGCACTATCTCAGTAATCTTTTAATTTGCATTCATTTTATTCATAGGAGACATTAAAGAAACTTTTGGATTTTTCATCAATAGCGTTTCTTCTTCCATAAAATGCCCTGTCATTTATCTACTTCCGTTTGTGGTGTTTGTTTTTTTTTTCCCCTTTAGTAATCTCTAAAATGTAGTTGTATATGTTACAGATAGTAAAGCTTTTCGAATTATTGCAGTAACTACTTCCAGGTTTACCTATCATCTGTCTTTTATTTTTTAACTGGCCTGTAGGAAAGTCAGAAGGTGAGGGAGGGCGAGACAGAGCGGGAGACAACACAGGCGCCGAGAGCCAGGTGCCCGTTTTCCACCCCCGAGGGCACCACTTCCCTGACCTAACCCTCGTCCTTGTCACCTGCAAAAGACGGGCAGTAACAGTTCCTGCCGCCCATGGTTGCCTGGGGGGGATTAAGTGAGATAATGCAAATAAAATACTTGCGCCCCACAGATCTCTTGTTGAGGTTATGAACTTTATATTTACGTTTCCTATTTGAAATGAGATTTTCCCAATATCCTTGTCTCTTACTGTTAGTTGCACACCTCTCTATAGTTTGTGCGTTACCTAACTGAACTCACGGTAGCTCTCCTAGTTCTTCTGCTGACTCTTGGATTTCATGCCCTTCCTCTGATGGTTTTTTTTCTTTGCTTCACACTCAAGCCCTTGGGGCCTAGAATTCTCTGGATAGTGTGACAGTTGTGTTTATTGTCTTTTGTATAGGAGGAACTATTTGACGTAGCTATTTTTGTTAAATTTTGCACCTTTGGAAACATGAATTCAGTTGGTGGGTGCTTCAGTGTTCATCAACCAAACCAACGTCCTTGACTCAACCTTTCTTTGTGTTAGGAATGTTCCAGTGCCACTCTTCTAGTTATTTTAAAGTATACCCTAACTTATTGTTGATTATAGTCACTCTGTTGTGCTTTCAAATATTTTTCGTTCTATCTAACTAACTGGGCACATTTTTGCACCCGTGAACCATAACCACTTCAGCCCCCATTCCCCGCTACCCTGCCCAGCCTCTGGTCACCATCATTCTACTCTCTGTCTCCATGAGATCAATCGTTTTAATATTTAGCTCCCACATATGCATGATAACATGTGAAATTTGTCTTTCTGTGCTTGGCTTATTTCACTTAACATAATGTGCTCCAGTTCCATCCATGTTGTTGCAAATGGCAGAATTTTATTCTTTTTGTGGCTATATAATACTCCATCATGCATATGTACCACAACTTCTTTATCCATTCATCCATTGATGGACACTGAGGTTGATTCCACATCTTAGCTATTGTGAATAGTGCTGCAATAAACATGGCAGTGCAAATCTTTTCAATATACTGACTTCCCTCCTGTGGATACACACCCAGCAGTGGGATTGCTGGGTCATATGGTAGTTCTATTTTTAGTTTTCCAAGGAACCTCCATACTGTTCTCCATAGTAGTTGCACTGATTTACATTCCCACCAATGGTTGTAAGAGGGTTCCCCTTTCTCCACATCCTCAATAGCATCTATTATTGCTTGTCTTTTTGATAAAAGCCATTTTAACTGGGATGAGAGTGATATCTTGTTGTAGTTTTGATTTGCATTTCTCTGGTGACTAATGATGTCAAGCATTTTTTCATATACTTTTTTGCCCTTCATTTGTCTTCTTTTGAGAAATGTCTGTTCAGATCCATTGCCCATTTTTTAATTGGATTATTTGATTTTTTTTTCCTGTTGAGATGTTAGAGCTCCTTTTATATTCTAGTTATTAATCCCTTGTCAGATGGATGGTTTGCAAATATTTCCTCCAAATTCTGTGGGTTGTCTCTTCACTTTGTTGATTGTTTTCTTTGCTGTGCAGAAGCTTTTTGGCTTGATGTTCTGAGTGCTTTACACGTTAACTGATTTAACCCTTGTATTAGTTTGCAATTGCTGCTGTAACAAATTAGCACAAGCCAAACTTGGTGCCTTAAAGCAATAGAAATGTTTATCTTACAGTCTGGAA